CAATTCAGACTGTTGGTTAATAATTCAATAAATAATTGTTACCATCAATTATGAGCCAGGCTGAGCCTACATTATGTTGGGACAAGAAAGTAAACAGAGCCAGATATACACAGTCCCCAGCTGTCATAGAGTATTTGGCCATTCGTATACTATAATTATTTTTGCACTCAATGTGGGAAAACATCTTTACTGTTTTCTGTTTGTTTTTAGCTCAATAAAGTTATCTAGTTTTTACTATTGGTAGAAAATAGTTTCTTGACATTGAGAATATCTATAATCTCAGTTGGTCAAAGTACTTTAAAGGACAGACAGTTTCAGAAAGTAAGGCCCAGAAGGATTCATTCAGATTCATTTTGAATTTGGCACCATTCATCAACAGCAGGTAAAATTAATGAAAAATTAGATAAGACCACGCGTGAGAAAGCACCGCCACAGAGACTGCTTAGGTTCCAGCCTCCCTGCCAAAGCTATAAATACAAATGGCCAATTTAACAGCATGAAAAGACCACCTACAAGATCTATACCTGGGATCTGACCAGTTGCTCTGCACCTTCCTTCAATTATAGGATCCCTGCCATGTTTATGGGACTTTTAATTTGAGCATCACATTTTGAAGGCCATATCATTATGGCCATGTTTGATCTAAGGGTGGGAAAGCATGAGCTTAAAAAAAATGCCTATACAATATGCTCTGAATTGAGCTGTAAATTGGTATCGACAAGAGCCTACTGTGGGAAAGGAAAAAAAAAAAACAAACAAACCCATGTATGGCGAAAGGTTTAGATACCATGGAGCTTGCAACCCTAAAAAAGAGGTGCCATTAAAATTACTAATTCTACTCAGGAAATGAAATCAGTTAAGAATAAGTACCATGATTTTTGTCATCACTATTTAAGGGCATTTTGAGAAGGGAGGAATTATAAAAGACAGTAAGGACAAACACATCATCCCCACTTGAGTGTGGCAACAGGATATGATTTACAAAAGAAAAATTAAAATCATCATGATTGTTAGAGAACTGAATTGCAGCTTATGTAAAAATAATCCTAATCATGAATCAACTGAGTCACAACGCATGTGACTTCTCAGGCATGAAGAACGCAATTGCTTAAGACTTGATGAGTTGGGCAGACCCTAAAAAGAAAATTAATTTCTTGCCAAATAATTTGTATAAGCTCTACTRTAGAAATATAGAAGTGTCTTTTCTCAAGGATCGTTCTTTTTTGATACTCCGTGCTCAAATACACTGAAACTTTAGGAGCCTTCTCATTCTATATCCTTTCTTTGGGCCTTCTCATTCATTCTTTTGACTGAAACAGCTACCTCTAAATTCTCATCCAGCTCTCTCCTATGAACCCAGCGCCTTGATCTATGTGTCTCACACTGCGTCAAAGTCAACATGTCCAGTTTCCCTCACTGTCTTCTATCCCAAATCCAGTCTTGTTCGTCAATATCCAGTTACTCAAAGCAAAAAAGGGAGTACGGTTGTCTATCATTTCATTTTATATTTGACAACACTCAACATAGCCTGTTACTATTAACCATGTCCTTCTTCCTTATTTTTACCCCCATCCCTTTTGCTCTTTATTAGTCTTACTCTTCTAATGCTTTTGGAATGTTAGTTAGAATGCATTTCTTAACAACAAAAAGCAAAGTGACATGCTCCCTAAGCCCCTCTGACACCAAAACAAAACAAAAACTCAACATGAATATGTCATTCCCATAGGTACTATTTTTCAATATTATCTATTGCCTTGCAATACACAAAATGGAGATTCTTTATCAAGTCTTATTGTCACTCTCTGCTCCTTTTTGGTCATGAGTGTTCCCTACCTGCCCGGTGACCTGGCCACACCATTCCCCATATATATCGGGTCTTGCATCCTTCTGAGATGTGCAGTGTTTTTCTCTGTCTGGAATGTCCTTTATAACTGTTTGCTGAGAATTCCTAACCCTAAATGTCCTCAACAGGGTGTTACTGGTGCTTACCACAGGGAATACAGGATGATGTGAGAAGGTGATCTGCTCCCCCACGGGATCTAGCATATAGTTACACTCGGTGAATACTGTCATTATCATCAATATCACCATCTTCTTTAAGTTTGAACAGAGTGTTTCCTTTGCTGAAAGTCTTTCCTGACATACCCTGGAAGCATGGGTCATTTTTACTTTCTGATTTTACATGCCTAATAATAGTATCACTTCAACTCCACAATGCATGGGATTTTCACCTTTCAGCATTTCTGATGTTGGGGTACATCTCATAATCTGCACATCCTGGCTTAATTGGCAACAATCTTTCTTCCTTGGTAGGAGATGCAATAATGGTGTTGCTTATAATGAATGGGGCCTTAGATGGAATACTACACTTAAACTGTCATAAAACTTTGATTATCRAGGGAGAATAATGCATATTTGTGRTAGGTAGAGAATCCTACAATTTCTATGAATCACTGGAAAACCCACATTAAAAAGGAACTACTATTTGGTACTCCAAATAGTACCCAAGAGAAATTCTATTTGTGTGTACTGCAACTTGGCAAAACCCTAGCCCCTTAACTGTATCAMAATGCTATCAATTATGTATTTCTTAACTGCAGAGGAATGGTCTGAAGTGGCAGCATGCCCTTGCCAAAGTAGTTCTAATTGGCCACCAAACAATGGCTGGACCCAGCTTGAAAGTGAGTGTGGGGCTAGTCTGCGAGACTCTGCACCTTAGTAATGAGGTTGAGAAGGCACAGAAAGAATATGAAGAGGAGAGTGCAGGAATGAGAGAAGGAAGGCCCAGGGACCATGTTTATGCACTTTCCCATAGAAATATTATATAAATCACAACAGAGTTTTACATTTTTCTAGTAGCTACACTTAACACAGAGAAATTAACTTCAGAAACACATTTTATTTAATCTAATATATCCCAAACCATTATCACTTTACCTTGCAATCAATATATAAAAAAAAAAACAGAAATGAAATATTTTTACATGATTTTTATAAATCTGGTCCTTGGATTAGGCACATTTAAATTGCACAACAGCCACATGTGGTTAGTGTCTACCCTATCAGACATTCTGATTCCAGACTGCTGTTTCTACACATTCAGTTAATAAGGTCATACTGACAGGCTATTTCCACGGTGGACTGATTGTGTTCAATGATAGATCTTCTCATAATAAGACAGTACTTGGGACAGGATCAAGGAGAATAATTGACCTTAGTATTCCCAGGGCCTTGMATATGGGAGGCTCTGCATGTTTATCTTTGAATATACATTAAAAATGAACTAAGGTTGACAATGGTGGTTCTCAATTTGAGATCCACATTGGAATCACTTGRTGAATAAAAACATCGGTCTCACCCATGGAGATGCTGGTGGTAGATCTGGTTTGTTCTGGGTATCTAATTTTTTTTTTTTTAAATCTATCCCTGACTTTAGTGCACAGTAGCATTAAGAACATGGCTCTCAGGCTTTCTTAGAACAGCCCTTRTTTCCCTGATCAGAAGTTTCTTGAAAAACTTAGCAGAATCAAGGTTCTACAYCTATTCATATTCATCCCTTTCAACAAAAGAATACAATTTACAAAATAAGTGTTTTAAGATGTGAGCTGGTTTGAAGAGGAGGGACTCTAAGGTCATTAAAGCATACAGRCAGATAAAAACCCCAATATACACATTGTAGAATTTTCCAGATAGGCAATAACAGCAGTTAAAAATAAGAATGGAATCCAAGTACACATAAGCCTCATTTCAAGTTAATTCTACATATATTGAACAGACATTATGAAGTGGTCAGCAAAGGAAAACATTTCATGCTTTTCTTAAGGCCATTTAGGTTAAATTTACCTGGTAAAATTATAAAGCAATGCATTTCCTTTAATAAGTCACACACACAAACACTTAAAGTCACACAGCCCATATGTTGGTATCATGGTATGCTCTCAGTATAGTACTGAGCCTGATCACAATACCCCCCCCCCATCACATATAACATTTAGCAGTGGCCAACTCTGATTTCCGCTTCAACAAAATAACCCCTCATTACAGAGGAGGGAGCAATGATCTATGCACAAAGGGAGCATCTGGGATGGAGTTCTTCTGACTCATGGGCTGAGAATTTCCCTGCCAATTCCCAAAGTGGTTTGGCCATACTTTGTGAATTCACTCTGCCTAACAGTCTTTTGTTGATGGTGTGGTATCATGTGGCCTTATGCAATAATAGAAACAGCATGTTGAGATATCCCCAAAGTTTCCTATGTGCATTTCCTCTGGCTTTCGAGTAAAGAAAATGCTCCAACCAAACATTCCACACTTATATTTCTTTCACATCTTAAGTTGAAATTGAGAAATTAAAATAAGAAATACCTAAATTCATGTTCATGGACTTTGGTCAACAAAAGCTCCCTAAGCCTAACAAAGCTGTGGAGGAAGGAACAGAACCTGCTAAGATTTCTTAGTATGTGTTGTTGCCTCCTGCTTATTGCTTCCATCTACTACAACCCAAAGGGTCAAAGAGTGCCAAGTGATTGGATATATCACATTCACTGGGCCTCAGCCTCCCCCTTTGAAAAGCAATGAAAATACAACACTAGTTTCMAAGTTGCTATACTCTTAAACCTGGAAGATAATTACCACCCACTTGTGACAGCTGGCCACAAACCTGAGATGCATGACTATGTAAACCTTGCAGGTGAGTTGCTTGTCAGTTAACATGTACTGAGGATCCCCTTGATCTCCATGGAGAGACAAAAAATCTTTGCTCTCAAAAAATTTACAAAAATAACAATAACAATAAAGGATTTAAAACATTAAACAGTCTTGAAAGGTGACACAAAAGCTATAAGRACATTCCATCTACGCTGAGAGTGTAACCACCCTGGAAAGATTGACTAAAGGAATCACTGGGGCTGGTGGTGGGATAGAAATGGCAGAGGCCCTCAGCAAAAGATCCATGAGGTGAAGGATGTTGTAAGCATGTATGTATGGCTGACAAAGCCTCCTACCTTTCTGGAAGAACTCCTCCAGCTTGTCCTTGAAAGGCTGAAGATACTCCTTGGGGGACTCCTTGCACACCACCATCATCTGYTTCTCACTTGCTGTAAAGAGAAGTGTAGAATTAGACTACCTCAAGAATTCACATTTTCTGAGCTCCTTCTAGAAGCCAAGGGCCTGTGCTTTGCACTCAGACATCAAGTGTGTAGACTCCTTGCCAATCACTTTTTATCCAAATTCCAGGGGGAAAAAAATAAGGAGTTCATCCTATACCTGTTTTTAAGAACAAGCAAATGTATCACATTCAATTTTCTTCTTAGATACCCATAAAAATCTCTGACCTGGAACAGGTAAAATATTCTACCTTTTGCTTTCCCCAAAATAAAGCAGCAAAAACTATTTAAGGACTTAAGCCAGGGTATTAAGGACCCTGACCTTCTTTAGATTCATACTCCAAAGTAGAAATTAAAATAGATTTTGYAGAAGTTTTCAGGCATTCAAGTTGCCTGTAACCACCAAATTAGTGATTTCTCAGGGTAACATACACATCTCAACATCAGAACTAAGCYCAGGTGAGGAAGGACACTGTCTGTCCTTAATGCTTCCCACCTACCCTTTCTGTTAATATTCTACTAATATATGTGAAATAATTTTATGTGATTTACTTCAGAGAGATTATCTAGAATTCATAATCAAATTGCCTCAAACTGGAGAGTTCTGATTTGAGTAGATGGAAACCAAAATCTAGARTTCACCATCACAAAAGCCAGTGACCCAGGTAAGAGGCATCTCCTCAAGGTTTTTATATGTTCAGRTCAGTTGTAGAAATGTACTGGGGAAAGAAAGTCTGCATTTCTCAAAGCTAGAACTAAGTCATGACCAGTTTTGTCTTTTGATCATGGTCAGGAATTACTGGTAAGTGCTCATCTAAGAAACCACATTAAAGCCTTGCATTTTTACCATAAAGAAATCATGTCACCTASTTTATAAAATGAACAAACATGTACTCCAGATCCTGAAACAACTTACAAATACAAAGATAAGTCATTTTGGAAGGAAGGTATAGGGAAGGGAACTTTACGCTGGGGAAAACACTAATCAATAATTTGATGTTTTCAGAACTAGTGTCCCAGAACATTTTCTACAGGCAAAGTAACAAACATGTCAGTACAGAAGCACAGAAAATGCAAAGGCCCACTCAAAGTGTCCTTTGAAAGTAGGTATATGACACTTGTCATTTGCAACATTGATAACCAGATTGTAGAAATCCTGGACAACTCTGGGAGACTGGAAGAGATCGAAGCACGGTCTAAGGGAATCCTTTGTCATTTTCTGAGTCGAGTTCAGAAGAAACTGCATTCTCGGAGGTACCCAGGGATTTATCCTATGATAAGACTTCTGGATCACAGAACACAAATACCTAAATTCAGGCTGTGTCTATTGATGATATTACTTTCCAAAAGTTTTAAAGAGAGCTTATTTATAATATTTGCCATTATTCTGACAACTATTCCAATGATATTTAGGAAGTCCTGTCCATTGGAATGTRAACACTGATTTTCTTTTTGAAAATGACCTACCAAAGTGAAAAATACRAATTCTACTTTGGGACAAATGAGAAAAAATTTCCTTAAAACCAGCCAAAATGTCATTTCAAAATATTTGTTTTTATGCTTTTATCTTTTTAAGCTTATTTGTCTTCTCAACTATAGCTATATTATAACTTCTCTTATTATTATGAGATTTCCTTTTAGCTCCTTCCAAGTAGATGGATTTTGTGGCCAAATGGCAAGTACATCCTTCTTACCATTTTTCTTTTGTTGAAACAGGGATTTGTTATGGTTTGGATATGAGGTGTCCCCCAAAAGTTCACACGTGAGTGAGACAATGTTAGAAGTTTCAGAGGAGAAATTATTGGCTTGTATGGGTCTTAACCCAATCAGTGAATTAATCACTGATAGGAATAACTGAGTGGTAACTAGAGGCAGGAGGGGTGTGGCTGGAGGACATGGTTAATTGGGGGTGTGGCTATTGGGTATATATTATGTATCTGGAGCTTGATGATCACCATGATGTGAGCTGCTTCCCTCTGTCACACTATTCCTCCATGATCTTCTGCCTCACCTTCAACCCCGAGGAATGGAGCTGGACTTCTATGGACTAAGACCTCTGAAACCCTARGTCCTTAAATAAACTCTTCCTCCTTAAAGTTGTGCTGGTCGGATCCTTTAGTCACAGCAGTGAAAAAGCTGACTAAAACAGGGTGTGACCTCAGAGAAGAGAAAGAGGGAGAAGGAGTTGGTAGAATGGGAACATACTTTGGAGATGAACAAATAGGTCTTGCTGATGCATTCAACTAGGGCTGAGGGACAGGGAAGGGTAAAGATGAGCAGGGGTGGCTTATACTGCCATTTACTGACATGGTGAAGAGTGGGGAAAGTATCTTTTTGTTCTTGTTCATTTGTTCCTTCTCTCTCTCTCTCTCTCTCTCTCTCTCTCTCTCTCTCTCTCTCTCCCTCTCCCTCTCTCTCTCTCTCTCTCTCAGGGGGAAGACATCAAGAGTTAACTTGGAGCTTTTTAAGGTTTCCTCTGGTCTCTATAAATTATGAGGAAAGATTATTTCCTAAAAATTCAAAGAAAATATAATGATTGGCTCTCATTGCCAATTCAATTAAATTCAARCTTCCCAAGTCTGGGATTTCAGGCCCAGCTTTCAATTCTATTTCTCACATGTATTAGACCAACCACAACCAAACCATTCAATGTTTCCTAAGTGTACTGATCAAACAATGTTTCTGATTCCATGTCTCCATTTATGTCTTCATTTACCTCACACATAACTCTCCACATAGCCTTATTCATCCTAAAAAGTCTGAGATCCACCATTTCTCATAAGGCCTCTTCCAATTCAGTTTTCATATCTTTAAAGCATTTATAGTATCTTCTGTATAATGCTTATATTTACCTTTAATTACATTTTTTCATGTGCTTACATTAATACCTGAGAAATTATTAGGCAGGTTTCACCTACTTATCCCCAAATTTCTCTAGAGGGGTCTATGCATCTGGCCACAGCATCAGATTTCCACMCCTTAACTAGATTCTTATGTGGGAAAAGGCTAAACAAAATTAGCATGGTTGACCCAGATGCAGAGCAGGCTTTCCAGGGTCACAGTGTGACTTGCTTGTCTCTTCACTCCTGCCTTCCTTTCCTCCAGGAGATGTGGCAAGGGTCTCAGTCTCTTCGCTTGTCAAGCACCTTGGGGTGTCCCAATCTTGTGTGAAAGGGATTAGTGAATTTTAAGTACCCAAGCAATGTCTACCACTTCACTGGTGAGGCATAAGCAAGGCAGCCAAAGATCACCATCCTGACTTTGAAAGACTTCTACTTTGAAAAATCAGCACTTCTCAATGAACTTTCATGGCAACATAAATTTTCTCATGTTATTCAGCTGTGACTGAGAACACAGGTAGCCATATTTAAAGGAAATCAGAATTTCTCATAAATTAGTCCTTTAAATTCTTTAATCCTCAAATGCAAACAGAGCAATTTCCAATATTATGCAAATTCCAATAATTCTATTTTTATAAGACTATTTTTCATGAACACCAATAACATGAGGCTTACCTGCAAATTAGTAATAGGAAATAATTGAAGCCATGCCAATAATGCCTTCAAAGTGACTTCTCCCCAGCCACAGAAAAGCCAAAGGCAGAGCTCATTTCCCCAATTACCAAAACAAAACTTCCACTTTTGCCTGAATTAAAAGGGCTGATCGCTTCAGCTTTCCTGTTGTCCTGGATGTGATGACAGAACCCATGGGGAGCCCATCAAAATGTTCAAATTTTATGAGACCATAGCATGGGGTGGTAAAGGGTTTGTACTTAGATCAAGACCTACCTGGGCTCAGGTTGGCTGTGGCTTCTTTTTCTCATCTGAAAAATGAGGAGCCCTCTCCCCCAGGTATGATATGAGAATTAAGTGAGATAGTGCATGTGATGTGTGCAGAATGTTTGGTACTAGGAAGCAGGCTCATAAATATTATTTGTTATTTTTACGATTTAGTAAAATTGGTTGGGAAACATGTCATGGCCAGAACAGCAGGAGAGTCAGGGCTTTGGGGATTATGTGCTACAGATGCTGTGCATTCTATTTACGGAAATACGTCATAGTGAAAATCTTTTGTTTAGAATATAGGGATAATGGTTTTCATTCCCTTGCTGAAATTCAGTGAGATCACTGAAGAATGCAGGCCAACTCCTAGGGAAAGATGAAGCAAAATGTGAAACAAGCCCCTTGGGCCTCTGAGCCACTCAGTTAGAAACTGAAACCAGGACCCATGGCAGCAGCTCCACTGCTGTGCTTGGAGGTCCTCTCCATGCCCCCACGGGTTGGGACTCTCATGTGGCCTATTAGAATTAAGCTTCTCCATACAATCAAAGGGGGAGAGCCGCCCTTCAACCATCTCCGCTGGTCGCATGTTCCGGTGGCCAGGCAGCTCATCCACTTCCATTTATTAACTTGGCTTATTTGAGAAGCTTTCTAGTGGACAAATGAAAGACCTGAAGACTAATTAATGATGACACTGGAGACTGCCAGTGCATAAAGGAGAGAGGTCATGGACACTCCACTAATGCTGGTCATTGTCCAACTGGAAGACTCCTGGAAAATGCTGCTAGACCACCAACGCTGCTCCAGACACAGGCTGTGCCCCGCGTTTCAAGGTCAAAAGCCATAGCCACTCCAGCTTCTTTTATTTTCATCTCTACACAATTTTTGACTATCAAATAGATATTAGTTTCTAAAGTTCGCTACTAATAAGTAATCCTTATGAGAGAACAAATATTAGAATACCRAATGCGATAATGAAGAGTAAATTGAGAAAGTCCTGATTTAAAGGTTAAAACGCTGTGAAATGTTTTGGTAGAAGAGATGACGCAGCCTTAATGTTTCAAGATTCCAGATGTCAGGTTTATAAGGTCACACACATGTTTATCTATTGTTTATTTTTGACCCCAAGAACAAAGGAATAAAATTTACTGAGCCATTTTGAAAGCAAGATAGGAGAATACAGAGGCAAGACTCCAATATAATTAATCAAAA